GCGACCACGCATATCCACCACATCTATGTGATTATGACAGACAGATACCATGACTATTCATTATGAGTTTGTTTTGATCCATGGGACAAACGGATTTTGAGTTAGCCGACGATACGTTGCTGCTAAGTTGTTTTTGCCATTTTCTCGGTTAAACAAAACAGCGATTCACGGCAACTGCAGGCCTTTGATCTCGAGTTTTAGTGGACGCATTATACTAATTTTTTGCACTGACACTCTTCGATATGTTCCCTCTCAAGCCGCGCTGGGATTTTTCTATTTTCCTATTTGTTTCGTAATTATGTTCTAATTTCTGAATACCGGAAAGAACCGGATCGCATTGTTTTTTCAAGATAGCTAAATTATTATTTCTTCTCCAACTATCATGTAGATATATATCTCAATTAACACGGAATGGTGGTGAACGTCGTCTGAAAAACTGTTTTGTTGCCAATGTTCCACTAAATTTGTTTATTCATTGGTTCAATTATTTTTTTACCGAAAATGGCTTTCTGTGTTTACACAGAGATCACGTGACTATACACGTCCATACACACACTATCTTGTCGATTTCATATCCAGTGTGAAATAAGCTTTCCATCAATATATAGCTTTGTGTTGTTCAGTAAATATTTTATATGAAAATATCAGTTTAGAAAATCAATACCAAAAACGGTACAGCATCCTTAAAAATAGGCGTTGCTAGTCAGTTCATTAGTTGTCCGAGAACCAACATGTCATGTGCCTGATGTATGCTTTCCCATAACTTCTAGTTTTATTATTATATAGGATGAACTGAACAGTGAAAGTGTAGAGAGGATAGCGATGCCTCCCAATTCAGCGTACAAGAAATTTAAAAATTCCTCGCTGGATGCTGGTAATCTGGACTTCTCAGATCGCATTGGTAAATATCGAAAAACTGGATATGACACTTCAAAAACTGAATATGAAATGGTGAGTGACATCAGTGTTGAATCTCAGCGATTGTTTCAATATTTCATGCTTTAATTTCATATTTTTGGGACAGTACCACAGTACCTGTAAAGTGCATCTCCAATAGAATATCATATAAACCAAAATTACATTTGTTAGAATATTGCTTCTTTTGACCATAGAAACATCTATAATTGACGTACACGCATAATAGAGTAAATATAGTATTCTCCATTTTTTATTGTAAGTCCATCTGCTCAAATCATTACTCAGACGTGCGTCAATTGATTTCTGTCAAAATAGATACAATATCCTGGCCAATTGTTTTTACAAATTTTGGATGAAATCATTCATAGTGAAAGTTTGTGATTTTATTGTTTTGTACTTTTACAATCGCAACTAGTAAGGTTTGTTCTCTGATTTAAAACGATTTATGAATAATCTCATCTGGGAAAGCTTACCATAGTTTCACTATCCAGGACTACACCATTAATTGACAACAATTATTATTGTACCTCATGACCATGACAGCCAATCAGATTACCGTATTAGAGGTTAACATTTTTGTATGTCTGCCTCTTGGCATAATTGTATGTTAATCTCCATCCTTCTCAATTTACCTGATTTATGCCGATAACTTGTCAGGGGAACACGATACGCAGCAATATTTATGAACTGATTGGTTTGCCAGGTTTACGTTCACTATTTGACTATCTTATTGGAGAGAAAAACTAGGATTTTGTAGCGATTTCGCATGATTTTTAGTCAAGCTTGATGAAATATCATGGCCAATTTTTTACAAATTTTGGATAAAATCATTCATAGACTTTTTTCCCATTTTCTTGGTCTGATTCGAAAGTTTGTGATTTTATTGTTTTGTACTTTTACAAATACAACTAGTCAGGCTTGTTCTCTGATTTAAAACTGACGATTTATAAATAATTTCATCTGGGAAAGCTTACCATAGTTTCACTATGTTTATGAATTGGTATCCATGACTACACCATTAATTGACAACAATTAATGGCAACCGTTGACAATGATAGTTATAAAGCAATATTTTTTTCAATACTCTCTAGGTTGGTGAAGAGAGTGGACTTCCAGAAACTCCAATTCAGAAATATCAACGACTACAGCATGAAATACGAGAGTTAAGTGAGGAGGTGGAACAAATCAAGGTAATATCATGTATCGTCACTTACATGTATACTGTAGTAAGGTTCTAACTATGCTGTCTGTGTGTTCATAAAATCTATTTGTGGAGATCCAGACTGAATTGAAAAAGACATATGTTTTTTGTTTAAATTTTGTCACGATGATAGGATACGAGAACAAAAATTATATTATATTGCATATGTTCTGCAACATGCTCTGTGGTTTAAAATTTGAATTTGTCTCCCACAATGCATTGCACATATGCTCAGTAGCTTCAAAATTGAATTGAGACATGCAAACTTTGAAATGGTAAAAAACGTTCATTTTTTTTTTCAGACTACAGCCAAAGAAGAAGCTAAAGTAAATGACTCTCCTGTACTACTTATTGAACAAGTACATAATTTACAAGACCAGTTACATAGTTTACATTTAGAGAAACTACTGACTACAGAACCATTGCTAGATTTAGCAGATCCACAGTCTCAGCTTCCAAAGTATGTTTTGTAGCATTTACACTGTCATGCACATACATGTACATGTATATGATTTAGAAGACTTTCCCAGAGATTTTCTGACTAAGGGAATAAGGGTAGTTAAAACATGGGCTTGACAAACTTAAACTTTTCGTTTAGGAGAGGGGTCGTTATTTCATTTACTTCGGCAGAAAATGTACTTTAGTTTGTTGCATTTTTTTTCTCAAACTTGCAAACTTTTCTTTATAGGGGAACAGGGTGGGGGTGAATATTTAACGAAGGGATTACATTTCCTGTGCATGTTTTAATTATTCATGGTTCTATAATAACGCCATTTCTAAAAAGCTTATATAGTAACATCCTCTGGAATTGAATTCAATTCTATAGACATGTGCGACTACCCTGCCATGAAAATCTGTAGATGCAAATGACAAATCCATACTAATGTGCATCTTACTTATTGACATTGTGGATATTGTAGGAAATTACTAGGACAACTAGATACTTATAAGAAGATGGCTGGAAGTCCTACTAAGAAACCTGAGGCGCAGTCAGCGACAGATGGACAACATATGGTCTATGAACTATATTACAAACCTGAACAAGCTAAATTTAGTGAAGTTTCAATGGTATATCTTCATTTTGTATTCTCATTAATAGTGTTTATATTTACGGCAATTAGTAACCCAAGTTATTTCACAGAATTCTAAAGCTGAAAGCCTTGTTGGTGGGAATGTCATTTTATCAACAAATCTAAAAATGTTATATCTCATGTATTGTCCACTTATATGTACCATTGACTACTGGTTGATTGTTCGTTTGTAGATAGCAGAATTGGAACAGCGGTTAGCCAAATTAGAGACACTGGTTGGAGAGGATCCACAGAAACTTGTGAGTTGATTATCGATAGAGTAGCATTAACGCAATGCTGTCCATGGTGCCGAATGTCGATCATCATGTTTAGTTACAAATAGAATGATGTACGCAGGCCAATATAAATGAATGCTTGTTGTGTCATAAATTCTCTGTTGTCTGTTGTTTTTTCTTCAATTTTATTCTGAAATTTATTTTTATTTTTACATTTTTAGACAAATTTAAGGAGTCTGTATGAAAGTTAAAGGTGATAGGAACACTCTGAGCTATTTTCATGCAAATTAGGTGATCAGAGGGCATCATTGACCACATCATTTTATGTCCTGCCTTTTCCCTGTGTACTTTTTATCTGCTGTAAAAAATTTTTACCTGTTTAGACATCACATGACATTTTAATTAACCACAATGGAATTTATATCCCATTCTTTAATTAATTTATTGCAGTCATTGCTGAGAAGAGAAACACAATCAAATGGCCTTGTGGTGAGTTTATTATCAGTATTTAACAGCAGTAACCGCAACTTCCATACTACGGTAACTGCATGAGTTCGTGAACGTTGGATATATGACCCTTGAAGTCAATAGACCATTTTCCGTACACTGCGAGAATCACGCGTTATGCGTGAAATCGAACGTAAAAACAGGACAAACAAAGGTCATAGCGTCGTAGTGGCGTCAAACATCGCGTGGGATTCGACAAACGCGAAAGTATTTTGGGGACATTTCCATGCTTAATAATGTGCTGTCCACATTTGATGATAGGCAATTTCGATTAAATAAGGGTATTCGGAAGCAATATTCCTCTATCGAAGATTGGCCGGTCGGTGTGAGCTACGAAATAAGGAAATTCGAGTTCAAAATCAAATCGTTCGATTTTTGCGGCAGACGTTCGACGCGCGTCTTTCATGCATCTCGCAATTGTACGGAAAATCACCTATTCAGCTTACCACTTCACTATGCATCAACTGTTAACTGGATCAACTGTTCCTTGTTGTCAAATATGGCTTGACGGTCTTGCTTGTACCTGTGTGTAATGATATGCTCGACCGAAATGTGATCTCCATACTGAGATTTGTACACCAGCTATTATTGATTTTGGGTTTATTTATCTCAGGACAACTAGGTTAATCTAATATAGGTTGTGTGATTATTTTATAGGATGCAGTTGCTGTCATGCAAGCCAGGACTACGTTGTTGGATCCAATACAACTGGAACACGTTGACGCCCGTTTGCAGGGCCTGCTACAAAGATTGAACACAATTAAAACGAAAAAGAAGTCTGTGGAAGATGTCAGTAAAGAAAGCAGGGTGAGTTATTCATTCTCATTCTCATGTCATTTACGAATGATTATCACAGTGGTGGAGGATCACTTGCTGCAGATGTATCACATTTTAATATTTTGAGTGTATTCACTTGGTTTTTAATTCACAGATTCACCAATAAAACAATCAGTTGTATTGTAATTTTACATGTTCATGTGGGTTTAATTTAGGTAGCTGATTTCTCTCATCATCAGATGTAAAACCTTGTGAATATTGATTGTATTTATATTAGTTATACCTCAAGCTTTAACCAATGCTGTGATTTATGCTTTAGATGTAACACATCACTGAAAATGTTTTAAAGAACTGCTGTTTTCTTTGAAAATTAATAATTAAATTTGTAGCTTATTACATGTATAACACCGATATTCATGTAGCTTCATGTAACGAAGGATGCTTTAAGATACTAGATCAGCTAATAGCCAGTACTTCACTTCTATTCTAAGTTACACTTCATAGAAAATATCTGTCTTGAAGCATTGATGTTCTATTCTTGTTACAAGCCTTAGTATTTACAATCTGTTATCTATAGTATTAGTCCTTGCTTTGTCCTTCGCTTTTGCAATCCATGTGATGCCTGTTGTCTTAATTTATTATATATGTAGAGTCTGGTACAAATTATTCTTATGTGTCGGTATACAAGTTCAATTGAATTCTTTTATTCAGGCACTTAACCTGTTGTTTCCACTACTCTGGTGCTTGTTTTTTTTTTTACTGTACTTCTTCGGTTTTCCTTTTCTGGCCTGCAGTGTACCAATGAGTGAAATGTACTGTAGAATACTTTTTTTCGCTTGGAATTTATTTTCACTATTTTCGCTGAAGGGATGATTCCGTGAAAATAAAATCCAGCGAATATACTCCTATATTTCACATTAAACTCATCAAAAATCAGTGAAAATAAATTCCATACACAACGCCCAAAAAGCCTTTTCAGTGAAAATTAATTCCAGCGAAAATAAAGTATTCCACAGTATTTTTCCTTGTGGTTGAGATTTTGCCTTTAAACCTGGATACTAATGGAAAAATATCAATTGCACATAGTTTAACCTGGCGTTCTGTATTTGTTAGAATCATGATAGTAACACATGCAAGGTTTCCCCCACTGTTGCAAGTGGGGTGTCAGCTCTTTTTTGATTTGGTTTGGTCAACTTTTTAGCTCCCCTGTCGACTTTGTTGAGCTGAGCTTATCATCCATGTCAACTTTTTACATTTTCGACTTCTTCTTGAAAACTACCATTCTTATTGCTTTGATACTTGATGTATATGTACTTTGGACTGAGCTCTCTTAGATTTGTTCATTTCGTGATGATATCTTCAATTTTATAATTTTGATGAATATTTTCAACTTCTTTTGAAAACCGCAGGTCTGACTGCTTTGATATTATACATATAGGTAACTACCTGTAGGGCGCTCTCAGATTTGTTTATTTCGAGATGATATCTTCAATTCTCTAATTTTGATGAATATTTTTGTCATTTTTGGTAAAAAGTGATATTTTGGACTTCTTGTTAGAACCGCAAGTCCGATTGATTTGATATTACATACAGGTACTCCCAGGTAGACCTCTCTCAGATTTTTTCATTTCATGATGATATCTCCAATTCTAGAATTTTGATGAATACTTTGTCATTTTTGGTAAAAAGTGATATTTTCGACTTCAGAAGCCTGATTGCTTCAATACTATACATATAGGTACCTCAGGTAGACGTCTCTCAGATTTGTTACTTTTCAATGATATCTTCAGTTCTTTGATTGAAATGTGCATTGCTAACAGCGGCGCTATCTCAGCCGAGATTTTTCCGCCATCTTTAAATACAAATATATACAAACACATTACTTTTCTGGAAAATGTGAAAATAAATGTCATACAAACTCCTATACTGTAACTTGATGACCAATTGTATGCTACGCTTAGTGCAACGGTTTAACACAAAGCAAGCCTTATTATTAAACACCATATTTTTTGCCAATTCTACTTGCAAACTGGATTTCTTTGATGTGTTAGAAATCTCAAGTTTATCAAAATAATTTCAATGATGCATCTATCTATCTTTCTATTTCTGAAAGCATTAAATTGTTTGACATTTGGTGAGTGGGTTCTTTCATCCTAAAATGCAAATAAGGTATCAAATTCTTGCAACATTGACTGATCTACCTTTAAATTACCCCCTGCTATTTGGTGTATGCATGGTGTATGTCTTTGAAATTTCCATAAAATTGTGTTCCAGACAAAAATATAACCAGTCCTGCAATCAAGTTACCAGCCATGCAGTAAATACTGTTTCAAAATATTTCCATTCCTATTCCAAGTAAGCACCCACTACAAAAACATTCTACCAACAGTTAAAACAGATAATTTAAATTTCCCATGCATTTTTTGTTCCTAGGATTCAAAGCTTCAGTTTATAGAGACATGATGTTAGGAACTGAGAAGGGGGTGTGGCATATTTTTGGAGGGTTGGTGGTGATCTTTGATATATGAAGATATATAACCCTGCATTACATTTATACATCAACAGTTCATTAAACAGGCTAAAAAAAAGGTGTCAGTCACTTTCTACAAATCAAGTCTAAAAGTCCACTATTGTTTTAATTCTGGATACTGTCACACACTTAAAATGTCTTCTAAAACTGATTTTAAATTCAACCAAAACTTTTTAGTGGACAAGATAGATGCACGTTTTTTTCAACCGTGACACATAAAATAATAAAACACAAATAAGAATGAATGAATGAGTAGAATCATGCATTGCTTGAAAACAAAGGAGGTAAAAAGCTGGTTTTTACATGGGGCTGTATGGAGAAGATGCGATCCCACAATCCTTTGCAAATCCAATATGGAGTTAACTCCTTTTTTTCTCTGTAATAGAAAGAAGGAGCCATCTGATTGGCTTGACATTTCTCTATTTTAACTGTGGTGGCGCAATTATCCTACGCCTCTTTCTTAACAAGTGTAATATGTGGAGACAGTAAGGCGGAATATTATACCTTGGAAATTTAAGATGATGTTTAGCGTGGAATCATTGTAATCATTTACCGCTGTCTCACTGTTGTAGTTATCGTATAGTTTTAAACTTTTGATTTTAATTATTCCGGTATTAACATGTTTCTCAGGAGGAGGAGGAGGAGGAGAATGAAAATGAAAATGAAGAGTTTGATTCCTTTAATGATGAGGTATTGAAAGATAATAAAATAGACTGGGTATTGGATGTAGATGTTGTATACACATGGTATAATTTGTAGACACTGTAGGTGTAGATGCAATAAACCCTGTATAGAATATTGATTTTATGGGCATGGTATTATTTGTAGATATTGTAGGCATGATAGTGGAAGTAGATGCAATAGACCTGGTATAGTAGTTCTGGTATATAATATGTGTATGTTGTGTTGTAGATATGGTATTATATGTAGACATAATATTGGAAGTTGATAAAATAGACATGGTATTAGGTCTAAATGTAGTGTTGCATAACAATAATATATAATTATAATATACATGTCTTTGGTGTTGATGTGTCAACAAGCATACAGATACGTATACATTTATAAGTACAATATGTATATTTTTGGATAAATGTGTGTTGTCTTGTTTTGTGCTGAAATTATTGTCCAATAGTTTAACTATAAACAGTAATAATGCCCAGCCCAAACAAAAATTCTGTGGTATATACTTAATGACCATATTGGGTGAAATAAAAGCAGTGTCCAATTTTAGACATACCGGTACTGTTTAATTGAAGTGATCGGCTGTTTAATTAGATATTGAAAGCATTCCTATAAATATGTTTATGTTGTTGTGTACTGACTTTTTGTCTCCACGCATTAGTCACTTCGACTATTTGTTTCACAATCATCCCAGCAATGCAGGAACAAAAAAAAACAACTTGCACTTTTGTAGAGAAATGAATGAGTAAATGCATCAAGACTGAGTTCAACTTGTACTAATCTAAATTGATACCAGTGTTGTCTTATAGTAGTTGTTTTCTATTCAAGGCTCAGCAACCTAACAATGAAGTGAGCAAGCAGGTAATCATTGGGTGCATGTTTACATTACCTGTTTCAATATTTTTATTTTTAAAGGTGTTTGGGTTTTGGCTGATTTTAATCATATATTTTTATTTATTATGTTATATAGGCATGAAAATTTCATTAGCTTTTTTGCTCTTTGATTCACTAACTCAACTTCTTTCTTTCTCTGGAACTGCTATTATTATATATTTGAACTTGCTACATTTTCTCTGAATTTGCTATTGTTTTCACTCGCTACTAAGAACATTTTCTGACATAACTTTATATATTTGAACTTGCTACACCTTCTCTAAATTTGCTAGTTTTTACTCGCTACTAAGAACCTTTTCTGACAAAACTTTATATATTTGAACTTGCTGCACCTTCTCTAAATTTGCTAGTTTTACTTGCTACTAAGAACCTTTTCTGACATAACTTTATATATTTGAACTTGCTACATTTTCTCTGAATTTGCTATGTTTTCACTCGCT